AACATGCCTGGGCCACGCGACGCCGAACCGCCTGCAGTTGGCTTCCGAACGCTCCGTGTATTTGGTGTCCGTACAGCCCCGCTGGTAAGCCTCCCTGTGTTTGCAGCCTGGCTGTGCAACGGTAGCGTCGTGCCGCTCTTGTGAATATGCGGATATTCCTCGACATAAGCTGATGCTTCCGATCTCGTGCTCTCCTCGTTTCTCTAGCGTGCCTGCCACATCCGAAATCCACTCCAAGGTGCGGCGCCTGCCGTGCCCCTTGGATGTGAAATCCACCCGCGCGCACTGCCCGAACGATGGCTGCCGCGTCCTGGTGATGAGGGCAGAGGGGGACGGACTTGGGCGATGCAATGAGCTGTGCTTTGGCCAGCTCCTGGCACGTGTCTACGATGCAGCTGACCATCTGGAGGCGTACTGCGCGGCGTGAACCTCGCGCCGGCTGCGAGAGATTGTCCACCCACAGTCGGTGCCCCATGGCAGGGTGAGCTGTCGTTCCCTTGGTCATCACGAAATGAGTTAATGCTTCGGCGAATCTGGTGCCCCCTTCGAAGGCCTTGCACGACAGATCTCGTCGGTTCGAATGTCAAGGTGACCGCTCCTGTCTGCTCCAGCGCTCGGGGCGATGCACATTGCGCCAGTTCCAAATATAAAACTACTGCTGGGTGCTCCAGCTTGAGCGCTGCCTCGACCAATGGTTGCCAAGGTATCGAATCGTAAAAGGGTTGAATGTCCAGCAGAGCATGTGTGGCATGTGGATATGATGGGCCAACTCCTCATCGATAGCACGTAGGAACGCTCTCTGCAGACACGAGTTGCCACGCATGGCAGCACCCCAGCTGGTGGTGCGATGCTGCGCCCACACTCTTACCTCATCCTCGCGTATCATCGACCATGTCCTACCGAGCATAGAGGATATCCCTTGGTCTTTTTGGGCAGCAACTTTCCTTCCACGACCTGAGTTTGAATCGGCCATGTGAGCGCGTCCTCACTAGCAGCGAGCAGTAAACACATCTTCTGCAACGCTTCAGTGGGCAGCCTCTGAAAGTCAACAGGCTTGAAGCCATCCACTCCCTACCCAGAGAGTGCCATCATTTGGGCGCAGGCCATCACGATGGCCGGAGGGGTGATGGGAGGGAGCGGACAATCCCGATCAACCTCCTTGATGCGGCGAAAGAGATCACGAGTGGCTTCCAGGTCAACAACTCCAGGGGGCCACACTCTCTGAAAGTGTTTGACCTTCTCATCCATGATGTCCCGCGGATGGTAAGCGAAGCCTTTGTCATGTAGGATCTCGACGCTGGGCTCGATGGCGGGCTTCAATGACCTGTGTAACATACCAGTTGCAGCTGGCTCGATGATCCATTTCCGGAAATCTCGCGAAGACTGACGGCAACGCGTTGTGCTCTGTCTGACACACGCTGCGCACATCGGTCCCATGATTCAAGCGCTGTAAGTTCGACCTGTGCTCCTGATCGAAGAAATTGTAGCCAGGTGTCCCAGCTCGGGTCGCGATGAGGTCTCAGAGTGGAATGTACATTTTCTGGGAAGTCATCACAAAGCTTACGACATGCGGCCTGGTACCTTTCTTGCTGGGTGACTCCGTTGGCGCGCTGTGCATTCCTCGGGAGCCCCGCTATTACAGTGGCGGTCCTCATCCACCATTGCGCCTCGCTGTCCCGCAAGTGGAGCCGACGACGATGCGTGACTTCGTGGACCTTTCTTTCTCTGAACTGCGGGCCGTACGCACGAGGCCGCCCTGACATCGGCTGCCCGTGGTGCACATGAATAACGCGTTCGGCTGCTGTGGCAAACGCGGCATACATACCTGAGATTGTAGCGGAATGCTCGGGCTCGAGCCGAAACACTACGGAAGACAGCAGAGGTGGATGGACAGATTCTAAACAATCGGTGCCCGAAGCGAACGCAACAGCCATCCGAGTTTCCTGCCGCAGCTGCGGCGAAATACTAAAACTTGGCTCGGGACTGGGAGCTTCGGGCCCGTGCGGAGTATATTCTTTAGGCTCTGGCTCTCGGGCGTTGTTTAATTCGCTACCGCTGCTGAGTGGTTCAGGGGCGGCTGGCACGATTTGAGAGGGAGGCTTGACTGAAACATCGTGTTGCTGCTGCTGCTGCTGATCCATGCCACTTTCCACAAGCATGCTGGCCTGGCTGCCCTGATCATGACACGGCCTCGGCGCGGTTTGACTGGCACAAGGGGCGGGAGGCGGAGACGAAGAAGAGGGATTCGCGACGGAGAAATTAAGTTCATCGGCCCACGGGTCTGGCTCATCTGGCCATTCATCCTGGGCTGGGTCTTCAGGGTCAAAATCGGGCGCGCAAGACCCTGTCCCAACAAGGTCCCGCGGAGCCCCAGTCAAAAGACGGTCATATTGCTTTTTGAAACAATCCCCAAACAAAGCTTGCAACTGCTCGCATCGCTTGTTATAGGCCTCCTGTTGGGCCTGCAAGCGTTGCGCCCGCGCTGAGCTGCTTCTGGACCCAGGCGTCGGGGTCGCCCTAGGACGTGAAACCTGCGGGAGCCTACGCGGTGCCTCAAGAACCCTGGTGTACAACTGGAGCCCTGAGCTCCTGAGGACAACTCTCAATCCCACGTGCGGTTTCCACGGGACGCATCTCTCAAGGGCGATCTCCTTAATGAACGGAACAGCCGACTGTGAACAGATCATGTAATCGAGCAACGCATCTGCGCTATTTTTAACAGCGCACGTGCCGCCGCCTGGTGCCTGGCGCACCACCGCGCCGAGCTCGCCACGGAAGTCGGAGCTCTCCAGCGCAGCCGGCGGCATGTCGAAGTCGCCCACGACGAGCCACGGGAGCCGCGCAGCCTTCAGCAGCCCGCCCAGACGGCCGAAGCGTATTCTGTTGGCCCCTCGCATGCCAATGCTAGGCCGTCCGTAGATCAGCACCGCGACGATGCTGTACCCCGTCACGTTGATCACCATGGGTAAGATGCCATCGAACACAGGCGCGCTGCCGCCCACGAGGTGAGCGGCTGCCACTCGAGCCGCTGGAAGCAAATGTGCTTGCAGATGCGCCTTGCCGAAGAAGAACTCTCCGCCCTCGTTGGAGCGAAGCTGTTTGCTCTCGGTCGCCACCTTGCCTGGCTCCCGCGCTGGGTTGGCGTAGAGACGAAGCTGCTCCTCACGAGCCCGACGCTGCCACTTTGCAATCTCAGCTTTGTCATGCAGATGAGTTTCCTAGATGCCCCAAAATTGAAACTGCTTGATGCGAGTCCTGATGCATCGCCACACCTTGTCTGCGAACTCAGTCACATTCGCCGTGAATATCTGCGTCTCCCCCTGGGCTCCAGACGTCGGGGACTGGAGCTTCCCCGCCTGCGTTTGTCACGATGAGGTGGCGGTGGCGGCGGACCCTTTGCCCTTGGCCTTGGACGCCTGGGCCGTAGCCGCGAACTTCGCCTTTGAGATCTTCTGGGCCTCGTCCTTCATCCTCTGAGCACGCTCCTCCTGCGTGCTATCCTCAGGTACAGGTTGCTGGGCTGCGTCGCGAGCGGTATCGGCGGCGGCAGCTGCTGGCGAGGTGACCGAAGATGGGTCGCTTGCACTGGTCGCCTGGGAGCCGTCTGCTGCCTCGCCAGACGCCGCCTTCCTTTTTTTGTCATCCGCTCCGTGAGGGACTGCTTGAGCTTCTGAGCCTGCTGCAGCCACCCTGCAATCACTTGACCTCGACTGTCGAGGTCGGTGCGGGTGGCGACCAGGTCCTGGTGGAGCCGCTGCAGCTCCTGCTTCTCCTGGTCTGTGCATTCCATGGAGTCCAGCTGGCTGAAGAAGTCCTCGTCCCACTCCAGGCGAAACATGGGGCCCTTGCCATCACCTGCAGCGGCGGTTGCCGCGGGCGTGGTCGCGGGGGCGACGCCCTCCGCATGGGCCAGCGCCTTGGTGGCCGTCAACTTCGCTTCCTTGGCCTCGGCGAGCTTGAGCGCGGCGGCGCGCTCCTTGAGCTCCGCGGCCTCCAAGTGCGACCTCAGGCGCATCACGGGAGCGACTGCCTGATCATGTAGGTGTTCTGCATGTCGCACGGCTCCATCCGCGCGGCGCAGGGCGTCCACGGGACTCGAGTCCTGGACCGCCTCCTCGCTCGCTGCGGAGAGCCTGGTGAGCTGCGCCTGCAGGGCTGCCTGCAGGTTGCTGTCCTGCGTAGCGTTGATGGCTTGCTGCAGGAGGCCCTGCAGGCCCTGCACGGCGCTGCCCTTGCACCTGCCGCCGGCGCTGCCTCGCCTGCCTCCCTTGGGGCCTGGCGATGGGCTGCGGCTGCGAGGCTTCAGGATGCCCTGCTGGGGGGCGGCGGCCTCGTACTGGTGCTCCAGCGCGTCGTGGGAGACCTCCTCGTGTGTTGTCTCCTCACTGCGCGCGAAGGAGACCGAGCGGCGCCTGCGGGGCGGCCGTGTACCGCTGGTGGTGCTGCCTGGGCCCACGTACAGCGTGACACTGCGCTGGCAATACTGGCACACGCTGTTGTTGCGCTTCAGGATAGCGTTCCACTCGCACCTGCCGCGTTCACATCTGGGCCAGTGGGCGTGGCCGCCAACTCGAGTCCAGGTCGCCATGGCTGAGAGTGGGGAATGCAAAGTGAAATGATGCCTCGGTCTTGGTCGAACGCACACACGGGCGGAGTGTGTGCGCAAGTCCCCCAAGCACTGCGCGAAAATGCCGAGGCCCGTTGAGCTCGGTGCCAACATGGTTCGGGCCCAGACGGTTGCTTGAGGGCGGAGGAGGAGGAGAAGAAAGAGGCGGAGGAGGAGGAGG